AGGACATTTTGTAAAGGCTGTGGAGACTATTGGAAATAGTTTAATGACCCTAATCTTGTTTCCATTCAAGCTCCTCTTAACAGAAGGACTAAAGTATCGCTCTTATTGTGCTGATATTTTATGGCCTTTTCTTTAGTGATGTAATAAAGGACTATTTTAAAACTTGGATGTAAGCACAGTTGTGTAGTAGCTATGGCCTCAGGTCACTTGTGCTCCTGTGACTGGCGAAGTCGAGGGTTTGCGTTGTAACAACATGGCTGCGCTGCTGCCAGATCTCTGGTGGACACTGTATCTTGCAGGTTTCTTAACTTGGCTGCCTTACAGAAACTGCTTCCTGTTTGTCTCCTCCTCTTCCTGCTTCTTTTTTCTTTCGCCAGTTTCTAAATTATGCAGTGTGCTATTTAAACAAAACTATTCCTTCCAGGGGTTGTTTGTATACTTCTACATAGTTGTAACTTTCCTACAGTGGAAATTTACAGTTTTTGTTCTGTAAGGAATACAGTGTTTGCCAGGAGCATTCATGCTTCACAAGGCTGTGCCTGGAGTTAGTTTTCAATAAGAAAAAAAAAGTCAAGGTTCAGAAGTACACATTTGAGTGATCATGAGGGTAAGATGGGGTGGGGGCCCTGTGATGAGAGTGCCAAACTGATTAGTTATATCTTACTCATTCTACTTGGTGTAACTTGATGAACGTTATTTATCAGGATGATTTACAGAAAGCGGAAGCTGGAAGGGGAGGGATGTCTCTGAATGTTCCCATAGTTATGTATGAGTCTGTATCTAGTGGTGTTTGATTGCTTGCTCTCTTGGGGATGGATTGATACTCTGTTTACAGAGGGCTTTGTAGGCTGTGTAACAAATGAGTATTCAGATTTCACTTAGAGAAATCGTTCTGTAAAAAGGTTATATTTCCCCTTCCTATTACAGGATGAAAAATTATGTTTCTAAGCTTCTGAATAAGCTGATATTGATGTAAAATTGCAAATAACTTACTGCTTCAGACAACATTGTGGCATTGCAGATTTTCTTTCCCTTTTTCTTTTGACATGTTAGTATCATCTTTACCTGACCGCTTAAAGTTACTCCGAAAATATAGCAAAATGAGGCAGTTGGTAACTGTTGCAGTAGCCACTTTAGTTCAAGCTGAGAAAGCAGCCAGTGTTCCTTAGTCTGTATACCACTATGTCAGGTGTAACAAACACAGATAATGAAGTTTTTTTTAATGTGGTTGAGATGTTTGTTGAACATAGCACCACCTACTTTGGAATAAAGTTATATAGTGCACCACTCCTCTTTTTTTTTAAACAGCACTAAAAAAATAAAACCCCAAATCCCAGTTAGAATACTGATTATTGAGGGACATACATACCTGTAAAAATGGGTTTGAGAGTCTTTCCTCGTGATTCTGTGTAACTGTCTGACCTAAAAGTCCTGAACACCCAAGTCAGTTTTAAGGGCCAAGTTCCAGGGCTGTGTAATGTGCTTTGAATTGAGAAGGGATGTGCTATGGGTCTGTGTCTCTTGTTTCTGGTCTAGTTTTAAGCCTAGTGCCTTCATGTCAGTACCATGTCTGAAAGGAATAACATGCACTTTCTTTACAGATGAAGCCAAAGTGTCTACCTTTAATTTAGATTATAAGCAGTTCAGGGCAGCGACTGCGCTTTTGCAGTGCGTTCCGTGGTGCCTGTCTTGTTCGAGTCCTGACTAATGCCTGAAGCTCCCGGCCTAATCTAATTTATTAATAGTAAGTAACAGACAGTAACTGCTTCAAGATCTGAATTGAGGAATACCTAGAGAGCCAAGCTTTAATGCAGGTATCTACTGAGCCAACCTCAGAGAAATACAGAATGCAATCTTCAGCAACCTTTAAAAAAAATTCGTGTAATCCTTTCAGAACAGAGCAACTGTGGGTCACAAATTTAATACTGGCTTCTGTGTTTAATCTTAGTGGGAGTCACTTCCATGTTATTTGAGTTCTTTGTGGGAGGAGATGTTTGTGCAGAAGATAAACAACACATTTCTAATGTGATGCAATTGGAGCAAAGTTCTTCCTAAAAGTTAAAGCAAACAAATGAGCCATCTTTTCCTATTCCCTGATATGAAAACTGGAACATTTTAGTGGACGCTATTTTTCTTGGCATTGTGCAGAGTTGGTGGACTCATTTGCTGGCTTTGTGCAGAACACTTAAACCTGGTGTGAACTCTGCAGAGTGAGCACTACTTCAGTATAATTTAACACTTGACAAGCAAGTAGTGCTGGTATTTAAAATACCTGAATGTGAAATTGTAATTGTCTGGTCCATGGTGGGAAGCAAGAATAATAGTTTGCATCGTAATGCTTTGACCTGCTGGTTGAGAACCAGTTCTGTCCACAGATGATAACACAGTGAAAGCAAAAATGTTATTTCAAAGTGGGAGATTTCTGCTGGGATTTTAATGCTAGGAAGACTGTTTCATGTCCCTGGCAAGGAAAGTGTAGGGTAGTGGTTTGTTCATGCAGCACTTAATCTGTGTTTAAGTGCATGAATGGTTTTGGCTTCTGTTTCATTCTGGTTAATTTTTTACCTTTCAGTTTGTGTAATTCAGGAAAATAAAATTGTGTCAGATTAGGCTGGTGGTCGATTTAGCCCATTTTTAACCGATTATGGCTATTTAAGGTCTTCCCTTTCTCTTCTGTTTGCCAGTGCCAAATGTTGGTTTTCTCAGTAACATTTTGGTCAAATTAGACAAACTTCTTCCACTTTTCTAACTTGAGCTGATTTGGCTTACATTTCTACCTGGCTGTGCTCTATCTATTGCAAGATTACCATCACAGTTGTGGGAACCCATCAACTTTAGAAGTAGGAAAATCTGGTTTTGGAAAACCAAAACCAGAAGACTGAGACGTGAGAAAATGTGCCTCTCAAGTAGAATAATAATTGCAGCAGTTGAAGAAAACAATTCTGGAGTCTTTACTAAGGAGTTTAAAGTAGTTACTTCAAATAATATTTCTGTGGAATGTGCTTTTTTTCCAGTGAACATAGTAAAATTCTTAGTTTTAAAACATTCCTTGGATTGGGCCTGTGAATTGAAATACAACTATTTGTAATAATGAATGCAAGTCCAGAAAACAATTCTTGAAGAAGCAGTGTTAACTAGTTTATTTTTCTGTCTGATTTAAATAAAAAAGGCAAAATCTAATGGTGGAAAAGTATATTAGCTCTTCTAAACAGCTAAGCTAGTCACTTCTTTCCTGCTTAAAATTGACCTCCTCCTTGCTTTTTCTATTTAATTAGCATTTAATTTGATAAAGAAACTTCTTTCACTTTTGTTAGCTTAGTTTTCTCTGATAGTCTTTGATCTTAACAGTTTGATATGTGCCATGGTTTTTAGCTTGGTGAATGTATTTTTGAGTTTTGCTAGAAGTCCTGAATTAGCCTGCTCAGGTGATCCTGCCCCTGGAGCAGCTTCAGTGCATGCTTCAGTTTTCCCAGTTCCTTTCTCTAAGGTGTGACTCCAGGCAGGGAAGGCTGTTCTCAAGCTTTTCCCCAATAAATAACAATAAAAACAATTAACATAGTATACTAGGATTGAACCCTCTTCTCTTTGTCCCTTCTTCTCCCTGGCCTCACAGACCCTCGTGTTTCTGATGTCTTATTTTTCTTCTGTGACTCTTTTGAGTGGCTGCTCCAAGAAGCGGTTATTTATAGGGTGTAGAAAAACTAAGTGGCATCATACCCTTTTTTATTTTTGGGATAATTGAAGTCATCTTTTTATTGTTGTTTTCTGTCCTTGCAGAAGTGGACTTAGCATTTCATTTCTCTTTTCTCATCATATTAGTCGGGTATTTGAAAGTGTAATGCTATTTCTGTAAATGCCGTGGTAGTGGATAGTTGTTAACAATTTTGCTTCATTCAAATCTAAGTGTTGTATATTGTAGCATCCCTCCTTCAGTGACATGATCCAAATTGGAATTCCTCTCAAAATGTGAGGGTTCAGTATTGATTTAGTTGTAGTTCCAAACTTGCTATTGTTTATAAAGATGCATATACTTTTTCTTGACTTGACTAATGGAAATTTTGCTCTGCTTCCCTGTTTTACTGTGTTCTGCCTACATGGGTTATTTATTGAGATTTTGTTTCTAATCTGCATTTGCAGACTTTGCTACTGGGTTGGGTTAGGAGTTGGAATATCCTCTTTCTATGACTCTACCCTGGGATGATATTTTGTCATTTTCTAGTATCTGCTGTTTTCTCCCTTTAAGCCCTTTAGCTTAAAAACATCCATGTTTGTTTAATTTAAGTTTTCTAGACTTGGAAGCCAGCTAAAAACTTAGATAACATCTTCCGGATTGTGAAGCACAGTACTGTGTTACCTTTTAACCCTTCAGCTTCTTGTGTGTGGCTGAAAGGGTAGAATCTTTATGGATAAAGCTTTTACTAGCACTGCAGCATAGGAATACATATTGTATAGATGGTGCATATTATCATGCATTGCACAGTAATTTATTCTGTATGCTTCTTATGAGATTTCCAGGCTTTCTTGCAATGTCTTCTTTAAAATGGCTTCTTATATAACTAGTTTTAGGAAACAGAAGTGCTGTGGCTTTTTTCCTGTGTTTGGTGGACCACCTTATTAAAAAGCCACAAGAAATGTTTTTAAACTTTACCAGTGTTTTTGCTACTTCTGTTACTTCTGTATTGTATTTCAAAATCAAGTAGACCTCATGTGGATGTAATACAAACAAAAAAAATTAAATTTTTCATGGAAAGTAATGGGTAAATGTGTAGCCTGTGACAAAAACCCAAGCCAGAAGGCGGGTAACATGCTTTAGTGTCAATACCTCTTCAGTCTGTTAGTTTAGTCCCTAATATAGGTTAATGAACGTGACTCGCTATTTTATATAACTGTGCTGCTAAGGTGGAGTCAGCAGCGCTTTTGCTAGCGCTCAGGATGTGTTATACAACTGTAATATCAGAGCCAATTCATTTGATGCCTTTTTTTTTTTTAATCTTTTATAGTGTGCCGGTCAAATAAAAGTCCATGGGTCTGTCTGACGTGCTCAAGTGTCCATTGTGGAAGGTGGGTACAAGGTGTTAGCATGCAAATCTTTTAATCAGACCTTTATCTTTTTCTTTTGTTGCTCGACTCTGAGGCAGTTCATTCAAAATTTTCCTGAATGCCTTATAATTCCCTGAAATAAACCTTTCATGATCTCATTTAGCATTGTATGTTTACACTGAACACACTTCTTTGCTACCTTATGAGGCTCCAGAAATTATACTCCACATAATTTTTTTTCCAAAAGAAAATTGGATGGTGATTGTGATTGCTCAGCTCAAGAAGTGCCTGGAAAACTGCTAATTCAGTGGATTATTGTAAAGTTCCATTCTGTAAAAGATGTTTCTATTGTAATAAGATTAAACCAATAAGAATTCGTGGAACCCCACAAATCCATAGTTGGTGCAACTTATTTTGAGGTGCAACAACAGCAACTGTCCAGCTTAGACAGAAAATACCTTAAATGTACTGTAGTGTAGTTTTGGAACAAAGTTATTGCCATACCACAGAAGGACTAGCTACCATCAGAATCCTTCAGAATACACTTGGGTTTTTTGTCTGTATTAGTTGAAGAACACCAAAAGAATTTGTAGAGGAATGATACAGTCAATGTTGTTATTTATATGTCAGGATAATTGTAGAAAATTTGCTGCTACATAAATGTTTGAGACGCACATATTAATGAGAATACAGTTAGTGTTGACATTTAGACGGTATCTGAGATGTGAACATGTTTTTATCTGTAGCATCTGTGGTGGTGTGCTTTTATTCTGGAAAAGCATCATTAAACTTAGTGACTTTGTCTTTTAAAGTGGATTCAATAAACTCCAGGTTTTGTTTCTTTGATCTGGGTAGCAGTAAGTACCACAATTTTACTAATGTCTCTTATTCAGGGTTTTCAGCACAACCCCCTTTTTTTCCTCATTTATTCATTTATTTTATAAATTTATACTTGGTGAGAGTTGAGAGGGGGAGCTACTTCATGTTATGTGATGGTGTGAAATAAATAGTTTGGAATATTTTGTTACCAATTTTAAAAATATATTATTACTGTCCACATATGACCTTTCTTGTGTGCAGTTAGTGGACATTGAGACGGTTGTTTGTTTTGACTTTTCAAACTGCTCCCATCCTTAGAATGGAAAAATAATTGAATGAGAAGAATGTAATATACCTTGTAATGGGAGCACTTTTGATCGTGAAAGCACACAGCATATTCTTCTGTTCAGATAATGTTTGAAATTAAAGGAAGAGGAATAGAGCTTTTCAGATTTTCACTTAAAGTACCTCCGCCAGGTTAGAGTCATTGGGAACATTACTGACCATGTTATAGCAGCAGAGCATTTCTGGTGCGAGCATAGCTTTATAAACTTGTTATTTGCACTGTTAGGCAGAAAACCAACTCCTGCAAGCACAACTGTCTTGTTTGGGTTATGACATAATTGCTGTCAGATTCTGCCAGCACAGCAATGTCGTCAACCCTGTGGCTTCAGTGCCTTAACTAGCACAGCTGCATTAGCAGAATTTGTTACACCTGCATGTGAGAACAAGTGTAGAATAGAAAGACCTTCATGTGGAACATGTGTAGAGTTCCTATCGGTTAGCACTTCTGAGTTCAACAAGCAAGAAATGGGGGAGGAGAGAATTCACCCGAGGTCTGGCCTTGTGCTTTGAAGTGTTAATGATTTTCAACCGATACTTCAGGCTCTTGCATTTGTAATGACACTTTTTTTAGTTAAAGATGCTTAATTTTCTAGATCTCAAATTTTGATGGTGAAAATGCTCATTGTGTCAGCAAAAGAGCTGTGGGATTTTAGATTTCTTTTTCAGCTATGTGTCCCCAAGCCCTAGAGCCTTTCAAATTCATGAAACTTATAAAATGTAGAATGCTCTAATATTAAGTTGTGCTGCAGAATGGGAAAGCTTAAAATGGGTGTGCTTTCATATGGGGGTCAGCACACTTAAAATAATCACAAGCATGATGAGTGCTGGGTGGAGAAAAAAGTGGAGCTGTAAGAAAAGTATATGGGAAAGCAATATGGAGAACTTACCACATTACAGGTATGGAAAAAGGGAGCTAATGATTTTCTCAGTTGTGAAGGGATATCAGCCTGCTCAGGGCCCAGATCCTGGGGTTTGGTACAAGGATGCCAGTTTATGGTTGCTATGAAGGAGAGGGAGAGATTAATTTGGACATCATGGGACAGAAAAAGGCTAAAAAGTTAGAAAGTTTAACCAATGTTTTTACACAGGTGAATTGCCTATTTTAATGCCTGTATAAATATTGATGCTTATTAGGCTGCCTTTTTTTCTTCTTATTTTCAATGAATGTTGGTTAAGTAACTGTTTAAAAGTGTAAGACTTTGTTTTTCATTTATTTTAGATATGTGAATGGCCATGCAAAAAAGCATTATGAAGATGCACAGATTCCTATGACCAATCATAAGAAAACAGAAAAACAAGAGAAAGTTCAGCATACTGTGTGTATGGATTGCAGTAGTTACAGTACATACTGGTAAGGGTTTAAATGCTGCAATTTGACAACTTTTTACATACTAGAAGGTGAAAACTTTGCAATCTTGTGAAGCATTATATTGCACACATTTTTGAGCACTCATGTCTTGATTTCCAGACCTGTCTGTTTAAAAACAGTAATGAAATAACCCTCTGCTTTTGCATGTGTATTGTAGCACTGGTTGCAGCTAAACTCCCGCATTTCAAATGACTTGGCAGAAACTTTTTGAAATAAATGCTGTTTATTGGTTTGCAGTTCCTTCTGTTTGCTTTGGTGTATCTTGAGAACCTAACCTTTTAATTGCAAAAGCTGCTGTTTGGTTGTAGTTACTCCTTCCATCAAATTGGTGAGCCTTTCACATATCCTTTATTTGTCAGAATATCAGAAAGTAAAGTAATATACTATAGTTCCTGCCCAAGAGATGTGAACTTGAGGTGTGTATGTGTGTGTTTTGTTTGGGGTTTTTTCCAATATAATTTTTTTTCTTCACTCTGAAAGAAAGGCTTCTTCCTTTTGGAGATTTGGTGCAACCTGTATGAGTTTGGGAATGTGATGGATCCTGTTGGGAAGCAGCATCAACTCTCTGGCAAGATTAAGTAGCAGAATCACAGAGGTGATTCTTTTAACAGAAGAATGGCCTGAGCTGATTTATTCTATCAGTTTCTTAGAGTCAGATATGAGAACTGTTTAGGGAGATTTAATAGTTATGCTGGTTAATGTCAGGTTCCAAATCTTTGCTCTCATCAGAAAGACTGGAAGTCTATTGAAAGCAATGCTTTTGTGCGGTCAGCATCTTCCATCCTCTTCACCCCTAAGCAAAACTGTTGACAGCTGCTTCCCCACTTTCTGTTAGCTTCATGGTTTCCCATGTATGTCATTACTTGTGCAGTGTGGCAGTGCAGGATTTGAACAGTGCATTTCTCAGGGAAATCTGTGTTATGGTCTTGTAAAATTACTTAGTATATAGCTCCACTGATGGGTATTTTGTTCAAATAATTGGGTATCTATTTTGTACTTCATCAGGGAAAAATCTGTTTGTTGAAGTTTGGGTATCCAGTTTTATGAGGAATACTTCTGTAACAAATACTTTTATCCCCTGCAAGTAAAATCACAGTTAAGTGGTCTCACCTGAAAAAATTTTGTTTGGAGCAACTAAAAAGTTATTCCGATTGTTACCTGGAAATAAAGCTCCCAAAACAAAAAATGGTTTTGAAAGGAGATATTGCTTTATTCTGTACGGGGTGCAAAATGGAAGGATTCCACAAATCAAGCACACCAAGTTCAGATTCTATTCCCTTATTTATACATTGACCATACAATCTCCACACCTCTCTAATACATAATCATTAACCTGTCTTTGTGCGCTCATCTTCCTTGGTTAACAGTTTACTCACATAGTCTTTAAAGCTATAGTGTCCTTTTAATTCACTGTGCTTGCGCAGGAGGGGTGTGGGGGGGTACTTGCTTCAGTCCTTAATCAGGTCGGTCGTCGCGATCTCCCCCTGCCTGAATTACCTCTTAGCCAGTTTCTCCTATTTTGTGTACGCACGTTTGTTTTAGCATCCCCTTATCTTTGAAGGTCAGCAACCAGCCGCTTAGCCATCCTCCCTTCCTCCTTCAGTGTAGCAAAATGCGCATTACTTTACTACTGAAGGACTATATTTCATTAGCATGACAAGATCTACTGCTTAAAGGCAACAACATGGTGTGTGCAGCAATGACAAGAGCTGTACAGATATTAAGCGTAGAAGAAAGGTTTAAATAGCTGTGTGATGTACGGGGATTTTGGTTCTATTTACATTTTATTTAAATGACCAGCATTTTTATCTGCTCCTATGTGAAAACATTAGGAAAAATACAAGTTTTCTAAGCGATACATATGCACAGGTTACCAGCATTGGAACAGCTGTGGGAAGCTAATTCCACTTTCCCGATTGATGCTGTTAACAACTGAGTTCTAGGTGGTGGCTTTTTGTTTTGTTTGAAGTATGACCTGTCTTCTAGTCCCTCTGAAGGTAATAATGTGTGGAGGAATTTTAGCAGCGTATTTGAAGTCTTGATTGTATCTCCATTTACTATGACAAATAGTATGCCCAACTTGCTGAGGCTTGATGAGTTAGACGAGCAAGTCAGAGCACCCTGCTGACCTTATCCCAAACCCGATGCGGGCGTTGCAAAATGACAACAGCCAAACCGAGGACTATGGGATCTATTACTGAAACAAACTATGCTCGTGAGGAGCAGGTGGGCATGCACTTAGGAAGCTCACTGGTGTTTCACAGCATATTTGTGGTAGGATGGATGAGAAGCAGTTTAGCATGTGGTATCTTTTCTGCTGTAATCAAAGTAGAAAGATGAGTCATCTGTGGATGAACTGGAACTAACTGTAGAGAGCTTTGCCTTGGGGAGTTCCTGTTGCGTGTAATCCACTAGCAAATTATAACTCTCATGTACTAATGTGGATCTGAACAAGTTTCAAAAGCAGTGTATCTTTGCTTCCATTTAGGATATTTCTTTTTTTCCCATCTGATAATCAGAAAAAGATACCTGGATTGGTTATTGCACCCAATTTCTTCAGTGGAAGTGAGCTTCTGCCCCTTTATTTCAGACAGTACTGTAGGGGCTGCTGTCAAAAAGTGCTTGCCAGTTAAAGCAAATAGTTGGGTGCATTTGAGTCATACTGTAGAGATTGAATTTTGAAATGTTATTTGTTAGCTTCTTCAGTGTAGACATGAATCCAGTAGACAGTGCTATGTTTATGCAATGATGTTTCTTTTAAGTGAAGTTTTATTTAAAGATTAGTATTTTATGCTAGCAATGTGAGCAACCTCAATAATTTGAAAGTCAAGAAAATACCATCCTGAGGCTTAATTGAATTCTACTTCTACTGCAAAAATAACGGAGGTATTTTGATGTAGTGCTGGCTTTTATATTTGTATTTGCAATTTTGTTTGCTGCACAGAGTAGAATACTCCTGTTCCATTTTTATCCCAAGGATCCCAATTTACTGCGTTCCTTAGCTTGCACGATAGTAACAGTGAACAGGCCTGTATGGGCTCTTTTCTAAGCAGAAGGCATTTAATCCTTTGCTTTTCTTTGGCCATGTCATAAACTTTCATGCAGTCATGAGAGCACGGTCCAGGGTTTGCTTTAGCTATTCTTATCAGTCCAAGGAGAAGAAATACCATGTGACTGTTGAAGCTACCATGGTTTATTGAATTTTGTTTCTAGTTCACATGCAATCTTTGCTGTAAACCACAACCAGATCAAGCAGTCTCCTGTAATTGCATTTCTGCGTGGAAGTCTAGGTGTGTGTTTTATTTATTGTAGTTATGAATTTTGTAATGTTTTGAAATATACAGGCACGCTTGAGGTTTCATTAAGTATTGGGCAACTAGGGATTTGCTTTCCGGAGGGTTTTGATCTTTATTCTATGTCCTTCTATTCATCTGTTCAGTCTTCACAGTGGAAGAGTTGAGAGAATGTTAACTTGTATTTATTATGAGAGTACAACTCTTCTTGGTTCTTTGGTCACTTTTCAGATAGTAGATGCAATACTAAATCTTCAGACTGAATTACATTTGAGACCCTAAGCACTGAGAAAAACAGACTCTTAAATTCCACTTTTTGGAGGTAGTCAGCCTTTCAGTTATTTCTAAAGTACTAAGCACAAAGAGTTTACAAGAACTACAGATCTTTTTTTTCTCTTCAAGCTATCGTACAATGTTTTCTCCTACTGTGTTAGTGGCTGCTTTTTGAGAGTAGTAAAATGATACGTGTTAAGAAGCCTGCTTTCAGAAATACGTTTCCTGAAAGAGGACTCTTGTAAATTTGTGTTCTCTGTGCTAGTGCACAGACAGTTGGTTAGCACAGAAGCAGAAAGGCTGCCCTGTGTATGTATTTGCATACTATGTTTTCCCTGTTCATTTAATCCCAGACACAACCTGCAGGTCGGATTTCTGACCCATTAGCCTCCTTGTTATCTCTTAAAGGGACATGGCTGTGCTAATGTCCCCCCTGCCCTGCCCAGGCTGATGTAAAAGTGTCAAGGCCTTTAAGAAATTCTTTTTCAGTCTTTATGTGATGGTGGTTCTATTTAAAAAACAGACTTACTGTGTTAGTGCATGAGCATCTGAAAATGAGATTGCTTAGGACCATTATTTTGCGTTCTACAATCAGTGGAAATTAAAGAGGGTAAAAAGCCTTTTATCAAGACAGTAAAACTTGGGTTCTTAGTTTCCTCGTATAAGGTGTTAGCACAACTAAGGAAACTTGGATTTTCTTAATTTTGCTTGTCCTGTGATTCTTCAAATCCAATCAGGGCTTTTAAACATAGCATGAAGTTCTGTAACCTACTGAAGTGGCCAGCATTAAGCATGAATGTTCCCCAGAGCAGTGTATACATTCACTGGCTTGCTGCCATTTTAGCAGCAAAGGAGGCCAGAAGAGACCAGGCCTTGGAGGTAGCAGAGATGCTAAAAATAGAAAGTATATAGAGAGGAGAATCCATATAAGGGACCCTCCCCGAAGTATCAAATTTGTTCTGTACAATTGCTGTTAAAAGCATGTTGTAGACCTGCTGTATGCAAGAAGGTGTTTTGTTAATTTGTGATAATCCTGAGGATCACAGATTAAACATCTGTTTTTGAAGTCAGCTTCATGTAGAGGAAGTAATCTCTCAGCCGTTTACCTTTAAGGTGTGTGGGCCTAGTAAATTTTAAGCTACTAAAGCATAAACTACTTTCTGTGGTGTTTACTTCGTTTATCCAAACCAGATGGGTAGTAGTGTTGTTATTTCTAGTAGTAGTGCTGAATCTTCAGGGTTACAAGGTTTAAAAAAACCTGCCCATTAAAAAGAGAAATAGAAGCAGCTTGTCTTGGTTTTAAGTGAATCTTGAAATTACTTTTCCACTGTTGCAAGGACCCTGACATTTAATGATGTATTTGGTTTTATTCCTCCATCCTGGGGAAAGTGCTAACTTGCAATTTTATGTAAAGATGTAACTGGTATTTGAGATGAGACTGAAAATAAGGTTAACATGATCTTTAGGGCGTGGGAGCAAGTATTAAATCATCTTTCAGCAATAAGTTGGCTTAGAGGCTTTCAGTGAGCTTGCATCTGCTTTCATTCCCCATTTTATAAATGTTAGTAGCTACATGACTAGGGTAGCAAAGTAATTGTGCTAGTATACCTGGGGGTGTGGACACACTTGGTATCAAGGAGGAGTCGGACTGTACTGTATCCACCTGCACCATATTTACCTCTCACCAAAGCTAGCCTGGGTAGTTTGCTCTGATGGTTGTCTTGAGGTGTGCTGTCCTGTGAGAATGGCAAATGCAGGAACGCTTCATTAGGTAATTGTAGGTGGCTGATAAAGCTGAATAGGACTACTTAAAACATGGTTGAAAAATAAGCATGTTTACAGACTTCTTCCCCCTCCCAAAATAACTAGGTCTGTGGCAGTCTTTTAAAAAAAAAAAAATTCTATTACTGACAGTAGCTATCTTATAATTTCTAGATCTTGCCTAAGTATCCATAACTGCTGTGTTCAGTGTTTGGAAATCTTGAGAGTCATATTAGTTTCTGTTCTTGGAGGCAAAAATCAACAGAGGCCCTGGACAGACTGGTCTTACAGACTCCTTTTTGGTGGCAAGGGCCTTTAGTTTCTCAACTCTGTAGTCTCTTCAAGAATTCAGTGTTTGAGTTAACACTAGCAGTACTGTTGCCTTTGAACTACATTGCAGATTTATGCAACAAAGAATATTGTAAATTCCAGTTGTGCCTGAAGTCAACAGCTTCATTAACTTAGGAGGCACGGATCTGCTCCAACAGAGGAGTAACCTGAGACGATGAGGATGTATTTCGCATTTGAGTAGGTCCTGTGCCAAAGAGAAAGGAGAGAAATAGCTACGGTTCTGATATTAGACATTTCCAAAGTAAGTTAGTTTTCTTCACAGGAAGCGTTCAGTTGCCTGCCAGAATTTGAAGGTGCAGTTTGATGCTTCACAGTAAGCACAGGGCTGACAGACACGGCTCAGAGCCGAGTTACCTTTGTGGGACGTGGGGGAAGGGAAGTTGTGACAAGTCTCTGCTCCCTTTTTGTCGCAGTGCTCTCAAAAGAGCTGGTGCGAGTGTTGTTAAGTCTTTTCTTACCTTCCTGTTTCTCATGCTAGAGTACAGGTTATCTAGTTCTTGAGCTAGCTCTTGGCTAACCCTGCAAGAGTACTGTGAAATGTCATCTGCGGCTGCTGTGCACAGCAGTAAGGCTGCTGCTCCACTGCCTGCCTCCTTTGAGAGACGCTCGAGGAGGCTGCACAAAAGTCTTGGTTTACCGACCTGCAGGTGTGGATTCTGCAGGGCTGGTCTTTGGTTCTAAGTGATTTTGTCCTTCCTTTCCCTCCCCTTTCCGCTACCCCACCCCTGTATACAGAAATGGAAGAAAGGGCATGGATAAGAGGGTCCACATCACTCTGGGACCTCTATTCCGCTTTTTGTGAGGGCCAGAAATGCAGGGATTTTAAAATACAGCAGAGCAGCAGAAGTTATGCCATCTTGCAACAGTGTTCTCCTTGTGATAGTTTTCTCTGCTACTCTCATTTCTTCAAATCGATGTGTGCACTGTGGTGTTCTCAGGAAAATAGTGAAGTTTGTGGGTTTTTTTCAGCATTCCCTGAAAGACCCTCCTTCCCACCTTTAGAAATGGTCTGCCACTGTATAAGGCATTACAAGCCCACAGTTTGAATATTAAATTATAATGAACATCTTTGCTTCTTGGGAAATGTGAGATCTTTATAGAACATTAAAACACCGTAGACTTCCGTAACCCTTGCTTCTGCTGAGATTTGGCTTCACATTACATTTGCTTTGAGGCAGTAGGGGGGGATCAGCTTCTCTCTCTCTTTCAGCTCAGTTACTTTTGCACGCTTGCCCTGAAAAAGCTCAAAATACTAGCTTACGTTTTATAAGAGTTTCTGGGTATATATAAAAACTATATGAGAGATTGGGTGATACTTGTGGTTAAAGCATGAGGTGCGAGTTGCCACAGACTTGTGGTGTGACTTTGGACAAATCACATAATCTCTTAGTTCATCTTCCCTGGTCTTTTTTCCATAGCAGAAACTTCTACGTTATGTGTGTATCTGTTCAGCACCTCAGGTTTTAATGGTAGCTTTACAGTATTAAAATAATTGATTTATGCTATACATTAATAAAACCTTTGTATTCTGTTAGCTGATGTCAGGTGATCTTTGCTGATAAATCTTCTGTGGATTGTCTACTAATGCTCTTTTGGTTACACCATATATTTGAATTTTTGTTGAACTGGAATTCTGCATTGGGCCAAGCAGTACATCATGCTACTGATTTCTAATAAAGAACTGAGCTAGAAGAAAAAACATGTAATAAGATAGTGCCTGTGCCTTCTCTTGCTATAGGGTAGTTTTCAGAGCGAACCAAGCTCAGTATGTAGGTGTTGTGATCCCCTGTTCCCTTTGCAATCTTCTACTGAATCACTTCAGTGCTTCCTGCACGTAGGCTTGCACGACTGTTTTGGAGTACTTCACTGAAATCTTTTACACGTTATGATAAATGTTTTTCTTGCAGTTATCGCTGCGATGATTTTGTAGTCAATGATACCAAGCTGGGCCTGGTACAGAAGGTCAGAGAGCACCTACAGAACTTGGAAAAGTAAGTGGTTTGCTTACATCCAGACCACTTTGGGTGGACTTGTAATATTGCATCATTTAAGTGGTATTTCTGTTTTATATGTATTTAATATATATATTTTGGTCCTTCTATGTGTGTGATACTGGGTATGTTTAAATATCCTTTTCATCGCTGAGAAGCAGAGGTGCAGAACGAATGGATTTGGCTGATCTTGTATGTTTTGTTTCTTACGTGGTGAATCTTGTAGAAGCAGCATATGGTGATACAGGAATTTAGATATCAATTAACTTTCTTGCTACCTAGCCAATAATTACTGTCTCTTTTCATATAAATGGGAGAGAATTTCCAGAACAGAATCATAGTTTCGTCAAAACCAAAGTAAGTTTCTGGAGCAGAGAAATTGAAGTGAAAATGCAGGTGGAAGTAGTCTTCATATTAATTGCGTAGTTTGGTTTCCAAACAAAAAGATAAGAAAGCTTATGAACTTGGAATTGTACAGAAGAGACATGGTTTTTTTCTGCCCTTATCTGGCGCAGTTCCACCGAAAAGTAAATATTACAGTCTTTATGATGCAGATGCTGTGGCCAGTGCTAGATAGCAAATAGTCTTTTCACAGTTTGCTTGGAAATCTTGGAAATATAATACTAAGGACAAGTATGTGTGCATACAGTGCTTCCAAATATATTTGAATGCCCTAGAGTTCAACTAGGAGCCCTGCTAAGAAATTGCTGTGATTTGGCGAAGTCTCTGGATCCTCGCCGAGTGAAGTGTGTCACTTACGCTGTTGATAATATTAACATTTTCATTATTTTCCATTCACTTTTTGATGGGCTTCTGAGGTATGTAATGAGATGTAAAGATGTTTAAGCATAATGAGAAGTGCACATTAATATTTCGGAAATGTCCAGGAGATCTAGCTCTTTGGGAGGTAAATGATACCATGGAGGCTTCCACTGTGTGTAATGACAGTTTTTGAATGTATGGAGGGCTTTTTAATTTAAAAAAAAAAAAAAAAGAAAAAAAAAACCAAACAAAAAACCAAACAAACCAAAAGACCCTCTAAAATCTGGAACAAATTACGATTTTGCTATTAGATTGGAGAGAAGTCATAAATTGGTAGAACTGAGGGGCCAGTAATTTCCAGTGATGTAGAAAAGAATAACTAATTGTTCTTGTAAGTTTGTATTAGTATTACACAAATGTTATAACCTCACGTATTTTTATTTAAGAGAAGTCAGCTATAATATATAAGTGCTAGGACTAGAGATATTTTTGATTTCTGGTAACTTTACTTTGTCCTGATTTTTTTGAAGTTGTCTTTCTAAAAGCTTAGATGATTCTTCTGACAGAAGTATTTTATGGAAAATTCTGTATTAAGTATTCCTTTGACTAAGGAAAAAAGATCAATATTTTAGATGAAAAGTAACATGCTAATAAGGCCACTCTTGGGAGCGCATACTGTAGCATGCATACCTTAATGCAATTAACTCGGACATTAGTGTTGAAAATAGGATGTGTGTCTGTACTCCAAGGGAAATGCAGTCTGGTTTAGGACTATGCAAAGCATATGTTGCAATCAGGAAGCTCCTTGCTGTCTTAATGACAGCTGATGGCAGATGTAATCACCGTGTTAAACATAAGGATGATTATCTGTTGTCCATTTCACACAACATTTTGTGTTTATAGTAAGTAACCTCTTTTAATTACTTTCCAACAGCTCAGCCTTTACATCAGACAGACATAGGAAAAGAAAACTATTGGAAAACTCATCTCTGAACAGCAAGTTATTAAAAGTAAATGTAAGTAAGACAGATCTGGTACAGTGAATTTAAGGGTTTTTTCTAAACCTGTTGAGGCTTATAGTTGGCCTAGACTTGAAATACTTACAGTTACCCAAATTCTGCTTGGTGCACTTTGTCTTTCTCATCTCCTGACTGCACACCTGGAAGAGCCTCTTCTCGCAAAAGAATGTTTGATATTCTGCTGCATTTCTGTTGACCTTGACTTTGAGCTTCCCTGTGTTTAAGAAGGGTTTCGTGTCAAGATGGAGCTTCAGGGCAGTTTGAGCTTGGTGGGGTCAGCAAAATCGGAAGGAGCTAGTACCTATTGGGATTAAAACAGGGCTAGACGTAAGACTTTTCTGAGCCGACAAGGGGGTTTTTTGTCCCCTGCCCCCACCCAGTGCAGAAGTCAGAGAAGCAGGTGCACTGTCTTTTTCTAGGTGGATAAGAGAGTAAGTGTTAGGAAAAAGTTAAAAATTTTGACGAAGTTTTAAAAGAGCTTAGTACAACTTGCTTTCAAAAGGAACTGGACTATTCTGAAAGCTTTTCTCACTCTCATATCTGCAGAATAGCGTGCAGGAGAAGACTGAAGGGCTACATAGTTTCTTCCAGGCAAACAATGCCCCAAACCAAATGTCTCTGTTTTCCACAGTTTGGGTTGAGGGAGTTTCTGATCTTCTAATTTCTCCCAGATTTTAGGGAGGGGGAGAGGCGATACTGACCCAGCTGTATGCAACTGCGTCATTTTCGCCCTTGGCCAGAAGGAGTGGTAGAGCAGAGCTATTCCTCCGCGGCCCTTGGGGCTGCAGGACAGCAATGTAGTCAAAGGGAGCTGAAGTAATAGCTGTCTTCAGCCATGAGGAACAATTACCTGATTACGAAGAGAAGAAGTTCTTGAGTATGAACGGAAATAAGAGGGTGGGGTGGGAGCACAGCAGTCAGTTGCTGTTTTGCAAGGTCTGTAGGGGTTCAGTTACTTTAAAAATGCACTACCTACGGTCAGTTTAGGGTCCTTTGAATGTGCTGTGTATGCTTCCTGTACTGTCCCAATCTTGGGGTGGCTGAGGAAGCCTGGGAAACGCAGTGGGATTTTTTTGCTATGGCAGCACACAGCATCATTGTCTGGAAAACTCAAAGCCGGTAAAAACCAGAAGGAAAATTCTAGGCAACATCTGGATACGGAGAAGACGGAATTAGAAAGCATGAACTTAATGCTGCTTTTATTCTTCGTAGTCTGTACTGTTTTCTCAGTTCTATTAATACTTGAATATTGCCAGTGGCAACAGATGATCATTTTTGTTGTTGGCACATTGGATCCTTATCTAGAAAAGACAGAGACTGCTGTTTGCATTAATACCCTGCTGTCTCACCCTGGGCAAGAGTGAGAAAAGAATATGCTAAGGACACTGTGGTGTTTGTACTTAAAAGTTTTCTTCCTTTATTGGAAAACAGGTCTGTCTTTAAACAATTATTACTAATTGGTAACTTGCTTATGCAAATAATAAATTTGTTTTTTAAAAAACAACATATACACAAATATCGTGCTGTCATTAGTTCTTTGCCACAGATGTTGTTTGTGGTAGATTTGGGGAGGGGAAAAAAGTTTTATTGGAACACTTTGAATACGTATTTGGTAATGTGGATTTGCATGTAGTCTTTGGTGCTAAGTAATACATTCATTTTGAGATTCTGCTACTAAAAGATAGTCTAGCTTTTAAATTATGTTAGAACAATGAAGAATGCCCCAAAATTTGATGAGCTTTCAGTGGGATATTTTGTAGACAATGGAATGTGTCCAAGTGTTGCAGATTCTAGAAATCACAGATGCAACACTGTCCACATTTGTCTTCCCTCTCCTCCCCAGCCCACCCTGAAGATTATTTGGCAAAAAGCAAGCTCATCTGTGGGTGATATTGCTCTAACCTGTTGAAACTCCTAGACTGTAAATGGTGTATATTTTGCTTCTCTCCCTTCAACACATTGCTTTTTCTTTGCACAGTCTAACTTCACCATTTCTTTCCCAAATAAATGCTGCTGTTTGTCTTTCAAAAACCCTCCTGGCCACCAGAAAACCCCACCAAGACAGCAGGCTAGTGCTGGTGACTTAAAAACAACCTGCAGGCTGCCACACTGTGCGTATTAGACATGGAACTAGATGGATAAGGATTGGTATTTTCATTTTTTCAAAGGCACTTTAGGGAAATTGCTGTCCAGTTCTCACTGAACATTATTGGAGTGTGAATATTTAACATATATACACACAAATACTTTGCAATAAAAGCCTGTGATTAACTCTGTGCTATTCTAGATTTATTTGGACAGGAAAAGATGTAGTATAGTTTTCTGTTGACAGGAATGAGTAAGAAAAAGGTTTTGTGTCAAGGTGGAGCTTCAAGGCGGTTTGAGCTGGTGAGGTTTGGCTCTGAAACCACACTTTTCAAACAGTGTAGTTTATTGTTCAAATCTATGCTGATACAACAGTAACAGCTCTGTGGGGAGAAAGCTGGGGAGCAATGGTCTTTCTTTAACTTAACCATTCTCATTTCCAGGGAAGCACCACTGCCCTTTGTGCCACAGGCCTTCGGAACCTGGGGAATACGTGTTTCATGAATGCAATCCTTCAGTCACTCAGGTACGTCCGAAGCTTTCCCCACACCTCTGTGAGAGTGGTTGTGTGCTGTAGCATTAGGCAAGGCAATCTGGCAAGTTCCCACTGTATGAGAGTGTACCTGGATTTGCAGGAACGGGTGTGTGCAGGTACCATAAAGCTGTGTTTTGCAGTGTGAGGGACCTCCTGTGAGGCAGCGTTCCAGAGGAAGCCTGCCGCATCCTCAGTGGAAAAGGAGACTGCCCTTTCGTTGCTGAGGATGTAGAAACATGTTGATGCTTATGGTCGCTGTGAAAGCAGAGACAGTGCTTTGAGGCATGGGGTCTCATGGAAGCGGGTAGGAGAACAGTTTCTGCAGTGCTGAGATGTTAGACCTCATTTCATTGCTGCCAGGACCACCCTACTCTCTAATTGTCCTTTGGCATTTCTGAATTTGCCTACTTCACTGGGACACTACTGAGTCTGCCTATAGCTGGACTAATCGGTCTCCATTTTCTTTTCCATCATTCAGGGTTCACTGGCAGGAGTTGAGGCACGTGCCTCATGTTCCATTACTGGGACTGCGGTAGCAGAGGTTAGGATGATAGGTGTTGGCAGACATGGAGTTAACCTCCTCAGCAGATGCAGTCTGGTTTGTTAGGGAATGCCTTCCGATACCTCTGTCTGTCGTGGTATCTCTTGGTCAAAGCAGAGCCAAAATGTAATTATTTCAGGTAGTTGGGCTGATGATGTTTACAGATCTGCTTGGTCATTTACAGAAGATGAGTATTTGCTACAGTATTTCTTGCATCTTGAATTGTTCACGATTGCCATCCTCTACCACTTCATGAAGTTGTGTTTATACATTTCAAAGAACAGGCTCCAGAATACATAATATTCTCTTCATTTTCTGCCCTTTAAGGATTTCATTCATTTTTCCTTCTTTTGTAGTAACATTCAACAGTTCTGCTGTTACTTCAAAGAGTTGCCTGCTGTGGAGCTGAGGAATGGGAAGACAGCAGGCAGGCGAACTTACCATACCAGGAGCCAGGGGGATAACAATGTGTAAGCTGCATGTTCCTTGTTAGCACTGAACTTTACAGAAAAGAGAAAATGGTTGGGTAATAGAGCCACTATACGCTTTCAGTGTTGCAGAATCGTAGAAAAATGATTCATGGGAGGACAGCATCTTAGAAAAATAGTTGGCTATACAGAAAAAGGAACTTACATAAGCAAACTGCAAGCGATACAGGTCTGGTGCTGCAGGGGTAAGCAGTCAGATACATCGGAAAGCACTGGAGTGTAACTGCATTTATAGCACGGTTAAGAAGTGCTCATTACATGTACTCCAGACATTACATTACTTACTTACAGCTAAAATACAGTCCTGGGGAGATGTGTCTGCAAGTGAACATATTAAAAAAAAAAACAACAAACCAACGAAAACAAAACCAAACAAAAAACAACAAAAAACCAACAAACTCCCAACCCCCCCC